ACCTGAAAAAACCGGTATCTTTTAATTTGCGCGTGTGAGACTACTTTCATGAACTCTGTTATTATCTTATCTTTAGATCTAATCTACGGGGGCTATATAAGCTGGAGGAATCAACGAAAAGTCAGAACGGAAGAGACTGGAGGAAGAGTTCTAACGAGGTTCCAGGGCAGCTGGGATGGTCCCATCAATCTACGAAGACAGCGTCAAATCGGACTTCAAAGCTCAAAGATGAACACCGAAGGATCATCAACGAATGGACAAGCACAACCACAGCCAATACAGTCAAAAGGAAGTTGGATGTTGGATGGAGTCGGGTGCTTTCCACTAGCGCTTTTTCACTGCTAGGAAGCTCTTGCGCACGCTGTTCATCGTTGTTTCATTTTTTAAATCTTCTAATTTTTTGTCAATGCTTACTGGAAGCAGTGAAAAAAGTACTAAAAGGCCTTCAGGGTCGCCATGTTTGGGGTTCATGGCTAGGTGAATATCATTTCCACTGAACGTTTTCCCCTTTAACAATTGACAAAAATCAATTTTTGAAAAAATGAAATGACAATAAATAGCGTACGCATAGCTTCTTAGCAGTGAAAAGTCTCATGGAACTCATGGAAATTAGTCAACTGTCGCTTCGTTTTCGAATATTTTCCTATTGTAATCCTGTTCATTTTTTATTACTCTTCGCTACAGTAATCCTTATCAGTTTTGAATATTTTTCCCTACAGTAATCCATTTCTGTTTCCAATTTTTCCCGTATAGTAATTCTTTCCATATTCGAATTTTTCCATCTACAGTAATATTTTTTCAATTTTCAATTGTTTTCTCCTACAGTAATCCTTCCTAATTTTCTAACAATTCCGTTACAGTAATCCATTTCTATTTCAAATGTTTCCACTACAGTAATCCGAAACATCTATCCGAAACATGTAATTTCTGATTATTCTTCTCCGAAACTTTTCCCTAATGCCATTTTTGTGCACCCCAATTGTTATTTCGTTATCGTTTGTACCCCGTTGTACTCATAAACTGCGGAATTCTTTGCTCCCGAAATGATGATTAGAAACATTCTTTTTTCCGAAAAATTGTTTTTTTCGAAATCCCTCGTTTCATTCACCACTGAATAAACGAATCTAATACATAACTTTCACCTACATTTTCATGCATACTTGTAAAATTCCGGGCCGGCCCGCCAAAGCTCGAGCCTGAGGAAAATTTCAAGGCCCGGGCCCGGCCCGGAAGGCCCGGTAGCAAAAATTTTGTCATTTTGAATCAAACTTTGAGCTCTCAATACAATTTTCTATATATTTTTTGTGCTTTTTGGATTGTTTGTCCGTTTGGTCAAAAAATATTTTAAAAACTCGAAAAAAATCACATAAGGGTCCCCCCTTATGTGTTTTTTGAAATTTTCAAAACTTGTGGAATGACAGGCCCGCGGGGCCGGGCCGGTCCTCCGAAATTTGGGAAAAAGCCCGGCCCGTTACAAGTATGTTTTCATGGACAGCTTGCATCTTTCTGCGCGTCAAAGGCGCGACAGCCATTTGTCCGCAAACACCCTGCTCAAAGTTGCGTACATCGCATTGGACTTCACGACGGCGAAGTTTTTTTTTCTTTCGCTTCCACAAATATTACTTTTATTCATACTTGTAACGGGCCGGGCCGGGCCGGGCCGGGCCTGTCATTCCACAAGTTTTGAAAATTTTAAAAAACGCATAAGGGGGGACCCTTATGTGATTTTTTTCGATCAACAAATTTTTTTCGAGTTTTTTTTTTGATATTTTTTGATCAAACAGACAAACAATCCAAAAACACAAAAAATAATGAAGGAAATTGTATTGAGAGCTCAAAATTTGGCTCAAAATGACAAAAAAATTTTTGNTACCGGGCCTTCCGGGCCGGCCCGGAATTTTACAAGTATGCTTTTTTGAGACTATTCCGTTCGGCAGAAAAGGGCAGTCTTCGAGAAAATTATTCCATCGAAAAAAACTTTTCCTCACAATCAGAGATTTCATATAAGTTTGATGTCGATTCGAAAATTCAAAAATTGGGTCTAAGCTTGTTATGTTGTAATTCAATGTGTTCCTCATTAAATTGCTTTCAAGCCTTTACTATATTTTATTAGACAAAGTTTTTGCTTTTATTTTCAGACTTCGCTGTCTATGAGCCTCATCAAGTGCTGGAAATGCGTAAATTAGTGATTCCAAAGTACTTCGGACGTCCTTCAATCGGTTTGGCACTTTTTGGCTGCACGAACCGTCCGTTCTATCACGTTTGTGTGTTCCCGGATAGAGCTTTGGGGCGAAGATACGAGGGTAATATTCTTGAGCAGGTATTAAAAAAAACTATTGACAAAATCATTAAAAACAAAGTTAAGGTGGGAACGTTCGATCCACTTCCAAATCAGAAGAACGAGAAATTGGTGGCATTAAACTTCGGTCGACTCAAATATTGGATCGGAGAGAGAAACGCACATATTTCTGTGCCAGTTCTCGAGCTTCTTGGTATGTCAAAAATGTTAATGGGGTTATTCAGGGAGTCGGCAAAAAAGGAAAAAAAAACTCCGCGAAAACTAGGAGAGTGTTCCAATCTGGCTGAAACTTTGGGGAAAACTGGAGAAAACTATAGGAAACATTTTGCCAAATTTGGGGTCAAAATATCAACTTTGAAAATTCTGAAATTCCAGCCAAATTTTCAAAGTCGATATTTTGACCACAAACTTTGGCAAAATGTTTCCTATAGTTTTCTCCAGTTTTCCCCAAAGTTTCAGCCAGATTGGAACACTCTCCGAGTTTTCGCGGATTTTTTTTCCTTTTTTGCCGACTCCCTGTATAACCCCATAAGATATCTGAAAAATTTTTGGGCATCGATGGCGGGAGTAGGTCAAATTTTCAATTGTCTCGTTACAGGTTTGTCGGGACTCTTCCCAATCCATCCCAAATCTTTTATTCGAGCGAAGGACAACCGAGCGCTAATCGCTGATCAACAGTTGAAAGCGGTTGCTGAAGCATCAAACGCCGAGAAACTCAGCGAAGAACAGGTAAACTCAAAAACTCTGTAGTATAGCAACACGATTTTTGACACTTCCTAACATTAGAAAAAACTGGAGATCTTCAAAAACGTTTGCTTGTACAAACAGATCGGTTTCACCTTGTCGCCCCTCGGGGTGAAATGTCAACAAATTAAGTTCAAATTCTTCACATGTTTACAATCGGATATACTTTTAGCACCAATCAATTTAAGCATAAATCCATATTGAGAGCAATGTATTCATAATTACAGGTTTCGAGCGGCGCCACATCGACCTCTCACCCCCAATAGTCTTTTACCTTCCCCTTTAGAAGCTCTTTGTTGTTCTCTTTTCCTTATTTCTTGTTGTTCAGTTTGTTGTTCTCTCTATTCGAATTTATTATTTTTCTTCAATGATATAAAATGAGCCCATTTTCTGTGACTAACTTTCGAACTTTTCTTCCAACGGGCTGTCCCACCAATCTTCTCTATTTCTATTCTATCTCTTTTCTAATCACTACTTCTTCGTTAGTATATTCTTTACCTGCCACCTCATCTGCCCGCAATGCTTCTGACTATGTTCTTCGTAACGTCTTCGAAAATCAAGATCAGTGCTACAAGGACTCATTTGTCTATGTCAAAGACGTAGATGCCGGGAAATCCAAGCTCTTCACAACCTACCCAACGACAAAAGAATGCTCAAATCGACTAAAGTTGAATGGTAAGTTAGTTAGGAGAATCTTCCAGTTCCACTATGAAGAAGCTTCAGATCTTCCTGATAAACTTCCCACTTGTCCTCCAGGATTAGTCGATTTAGAGGTAATTCCAGCGTATTTTGGATTATCACAGCTCAGGTAAAATATTTGAATTAAATTTCTAAACACAACAGACTGTTTAGTTATCCCTATGCCAATTTGAACATTTCGGTTATGGCACATTCTCCTGTAGACACAATCGCTTTCCGTCTCCATTGCCTTCATGCATCCGATGGATCAGACGTGTATTGCTCTGACTTGAAGGATATGGTAACTAACAAATGAATAGAATTCATCAGATTTTCTGTTTTAGTATATAAATGGAGTGAAAGAATGGCCGTGTCGTGCAATTCAACTATCCACAAAGGTCCAGTATCCGGCAAGGTTTTCATATGCATGCTTTCGACTGACGTCATACTCCGTCTACGCCATCAATGCTACAGTGCTACCTCAAAAATGTAGAGTCACAACTATAGTCACGGCTCCCCGGTTCGAAGAGTTGTACCCTGACATGCTTGTCGATCCATCAATCAGTAAAAAGGAAATCGCTACAAAGGATCCATTCTGGGCGCCCATGATTGCTGTAGATTTTAGCGATGAAAATGCTATTTGGATTCGGTTGGGAAAAGCACCAAGAGCAGAATGTGATACTATAAATGTCAATGTTTACAAAGAGCACGATGATGATTCTGAAAAGGTGAACTTCGTCGCTGCACTGTCAATCAAGTGTCCAGAAACCGCTATAAAGTGGGAAAATCAGAAAGCTGGAAAGTATCTTCTGTCCGCCTACGTACTAATTCGAGGATGTAAATTTATCTGCGAACCAAATGCTCGTGGCTGCACTCAATGCTTCCGAACGCATCTCAACCTCGTAATTCATGAAACACGAGCTTCGTTGACCTGGTTAACAGTGCAGAAGATCAAAGACTACGGTCTCGAAATTTTCTTAGCCATTGTTAGTATACTGTCGATTGGATGCGTCGTGGTTATAGTCGCTGTTATAGTTTTCCTTCATAAGAAGAGACAAGAAGCAAATCGTGTTCAAGAAATTCGGTTATCAGATTTTGTGAAAACAATGCTGGTGTATGCTGATGATAGTGAACTACATACGAACTGTGTCAAACATCTCGTCGATAATCTCAGACATTGTTCTACTGTTGAACCTATCTTCGATTTAGAAAAACTTATCACAGCAGAGCGTAAGTTATCGTTTATCTGAATAGATGTTTAACGAAACATGTTCTTTTCAGAAGTTGTACCGTCTCGTTGGCTCATTGAGCAACTCAGCACTCTTCAGAAATTCATTATCGTCATATCGGACTGTGCTGTCCGAATCCTCGACTCAGAAGCATCCGAAACTCATCATCTAGTGCAGTCGCGTCCCTTTTCAGACCTCTTCGGACCAGCCATGGACATTATCATAGGAGTAAAAAAAGTAAATGTTCAGAAAACGATTACAATTTGAATTGTATTACAGGATGCTACTCGGAGACCAGAAGAAGCTCGTAAAAAATATGCAATCGCCAGATTTGAAATTTCCCCAGAAGTTCCAGCTAATCTCGCAATCCTTCGACTTCCTACATTCATTCGTTAGTTGTTTCTCATTCATCAATATTGAACATCTTTCCTTTTTTTTTCAGTTCCAAAAGATTTTAGTCGTCTGACAGCGTTCTTGCACAGTTTGGATTATGGAGAAACTTTTAACATCACCTCAAACATATCCAAATGTCGTCTTGATGACTGGGCACTGGCTATCTACCGAACGACAATTTTCACTCGTGAAAATCCTAATTGGATTGATACAAGGTGGAAGCCAAAAGATGTGAGTGTTTTGAAGATGAGATCACATCGAATTTTGGTTTTTTAGGAGCAGGATGTCATGAACTTGAAGCGGGAAACACCAGTGACATTTACTTATTCCAACGAGGAAGGTCGAATTGCTGCATCGAAAAAGTTCAATTTGATTCCACCAAAAGAAGGTAGTGAAGTAGATGAGGTGGAGGAAGGAGAGATCTCACAGAAAGAAGCCTCGGCTCCCGATGACGAGACAGCATTTTTGATAAAACCACCAGCCCTTGATGACATATCTGATTCCGACGAAGATGAAGAAGAAGATCAAGGATCCAATACTATCGTAGCACTCTGATGATCTTTCTATTACACTATTTTTTGCTTATTGTGTGATACATGGTATATCTGATTTAAATTTATCTTAAGGTTCCTCGAGATTTTTATAGACTAAGTCTTGATTCCTCTTTCAAACTTCCATCCCGGCTCAAAGTTTGTTCGATTTTCCCATCATTTTTGTTTGTTCGTCGCGGTCATTATTAGGCTTTATCTGAATAAATTTTTCGTTTTCAAGCATTGCTCCTGTCCAGTTTGCGGTATGATTCCGAACTCGATATCATCTCCCATAACAGAGATGTGATTATGCATCGTTGTTTTTCAGTTCATGATCCCTTCAATAAATCAAGAAATGCCCTCTTCTTCGTCATCATCATCCTACGAAGACTCTGAAGATGACTATCGGGAAGAAAACGAAGAAGACGAGGCGGAAGATCATGACGATTGTGAAGCTGGCCCATCAGTTGACAAAGAAAAAGTTAAAACTGTTGGACATTCGTGAGTATGAGATTTCAGAGGAACTAAATAATTTAGAAGATTTTTAGTTGTCCTCACTGTGAGAAGACTTTTCCATACCCCAACAAACTACGAGTTCATTTGAAAACGCATGAATGTAAGAGCATTTATACTTTTTTTTTTCTAGTTGTGTTTCTTTTTTCAGATAATCGTTATCAATGCTTCGAATGTCCCTCGCCGCAAAATTTCAATTCATTCAACGAGTTGAAAAGTCATCGGAAGTTACTTCACAGTCAAGCCGTTCACAAGTGTCCGCAGTGCTCATTTACCACTTCGGTATCTATTTTGAATTTCAAATTTCCTTATAATAACTAATTTATTTTCTAGAAACCTGCATTCATTCGACGCCACATTCAATTAAGTCACATTAACGGTATTCCGTGTACGGTCGCTGGGTGTTTTTTGAAAGTAGCGAAAAACCGGATGAAGTCAGTCAATAGCTTAATTTATATTTATTTTAAATATTTATTCCAGAGCTCATATCAAAGAAGTACATTCTAAGTCTGTAGAAACACCATCGAGACCAATACGAGCTAAATTGTCTTTCCATAAATGCCCCATCTGCGCGTATGAACCAGATCAGTCGATTTTAAACGCGGAAGAACAGTATAGAGATCTGATGGCTCATATCAAAAGGTTCGTGAATACTGTTATGATCTTCTAATTACTTTATTTTTTAGTGTTCATGACGACAAAGGACGAAAATTATGCACGTTTGGTTGTGACGCAGTTATCCGTTCTGAGGAAGACAAGACACACTGGCAAACGTGCCCCAGATTTAGCACGGATGAGCCAACGACTTCTACTTCAAGACTAGTTGATGACGGGTGTGGTGACACGAATACGGTCACTTCACAATCAATTGTAACCGAGACTTCTGGTGACTATCCGACTGACTTGGAATCGGATACGGAGGTGGAAAAAATCGAATTATTATCGAATTCTTTGATAGAAGCAGATTTGGAGGAGAAGGGAAATACAGAAGAACCACCGCCGAAGAAGTGCAAAATGGGAGAAGAATCAATGGAAAGAAGATTCAGTTGTGAAGTGTGTAGTAAAGTGTTCATGAAATGGGAGTATGTCAGGAAACACTTCAACGCTTGCCATTCGAAACAAAAAACGCCTCGAGTTTTAAAAAAGCAATTCAAATGTGAACGAAAGTCACTAAAAAATGAAGAGGACCTATGTGGAAAATCATTTAGAACAGAACAGGCTCTTCAGGATCACTACAACGTTCATGAAGGTAATTTAAATTCTTAGATAGTCGATTTTCAAATGTATTCTATGTTCCAGGAGTCCAACCGTATGCATGTGTCACTTGTAATCAAAGGTTTTACGCCAGAGATCGATTTGCTGTCCATTTATCCAAATATCATCTCACGAGCATCAAGGATCTCACCGCCAACAGTTCTATGTTTGGAACTGGTAACGTACAAAGTGAAGGGCAACCATCTCATGAGAATAATTGATTATAGAGGTTTTTATACTTGTTTTACCCGAATTCTTTTTTTAGGACATTGAGTATGTTGTTTCATTGTTTGTTTGTTACTGTTTACTATTATAAACTTAAGCTTTATTATTTACACTGACAGTTTTATTGTTATTAGTGATGATCAGCAAGTCGAAGGAATGAGTTGGGATAGTGTTTGAAGAGTCATTATTGGCCTTTGATGATATTGACGAATTCTAAAATATTGATAATTGAATGAAAGTTCGGAGGAATTGAACACCTTGGAAGTCGATCATTCCATCATGATCGAGATCTCCTTGCTTGATCATTTCCTTCGCTTCAGTCTCCGTCAACTTCTCTCCCAATTGGCACATTACAAAAATCAAATCGTCGATTGAGATCATTCCATCTCCGTTTTTATCGAAAACCTGGAAATTTAATTCTGAAAATAATCGCAAAAAACTACGAAGACCCACATTGAACACATCTCTCAACTCTCGTTCCTCCTTCGGATCGCAAATTTGTCGACGAAGAACATTGAGAAATTCGTCGATGTCAATGCATCCGTTTCCTGAAAAATTCGAAATAAACAGGAAGTCAAAAGTTCGAGAAAAACGTCTCCAGACGATTCCAACTTCCATACCAGAACTTTTAAATTTTCATTCCAGTCGAATGGTTTTTTCCACACATACACACACACACAACCTACCCGACTTCCTGTTATCGAGCAGTTCTTTTTTCTATTTCAGGACAAAAAAAAACCGTAAACACTCTATTAGAACGCCACCCGAGTCGCCAAATTCGAGCTCATGCATCTCATTTTCTGTAAAAGATATCAAAAAGTGGTTAACTAATAAAATGTTGCTGATATCATGATAAACTTTTTATTAGTTGACAACTTTTTGATATCATTCAAAAGAAGTGAGATGGCGTGCTCAAAGTGGACGGTCCGGGTGGCGTTCGTATGAGAAAAATCATGTGGGCAGATTACTGTACTCACCATCCAAATCCGCCTGCTCGATCATCGTTTCGATTTTCGAGTTGGTAGCTTTTTCTCCCAATTGAAGAAGAGCGACCTAGAAATAATAGGTTAATGAGAAATTTAAAAAAAAAACTTTTTATTTTTTACTGTAGCCTTAATGTTCAAAAACCCAGAAAGTACCGTACTCCCTATAAATTACCTCTAACTCTTGTCGTGTAATCCTTCCATCTCCATTCTTGTCGAACTCACGGAATACTTCACGAATTTCAGCTTCCTTAAGAGAGTCCATTGTTTTGTCTACTTTCTGAAAATTACATTTTTCTCCTAGATGCACAAGAAAAAAATAAGAAAATTGGAAAACATCACGAGTGAGTGTAAAAGAATGAATAAATGAATTCTCCCATAAATGTATACATGACTAACAACTGAATAGGAAGCGGTTGAGAAATGAAAAAAAGTGAGAATGACATGAAATTTATGCGGAAATTGGAGCCGCGAGACACAAAGTTTCACAGAGCACCTGAACTTTGAGCACTTTCGATTCGAAAAAAAGTGCTGGAATAATGCAAACAAAAACGACGAGAAGGGATGTTTTGGTCGTGTTCTATTTTTTGAGTTTTGCGGGGGTTTCGTCGGAGACAATTCAACACTTTTTGGTTGGCCTAAGCCACGCCCACTCGTGGAACCAAAATATCAAGGCTTGGTATGAAACTGCGCAGCTAAAGTATTTGTGATCATAAGACCACAATATTACGAAACTCTGATCCGTTTGGATAGGATAATCACCAATCATACACGAATCATTAAGTGTGGGAAAAACGGTGTGAAAGTTTTTTGATGTTCAAAAGTATACCGGAAACACTCTAATAGAAACCCACCCAAACTGTCAACTTTGAGCTCAATTTTTTAGTCGATTCCTGTGAATGATATAAAAAGTTTGTCAACTGATGAAATATTAGAGATATTGAGATACATATTTTATCAGTTGACAAAGTTTTGATATCTTTTACAGAAAGTGAGACAATGTGGCTTAAAGTTGAAAGTTATTAGCGGCGATCTATTACAGGGCTTACGGTAGTTCTTGACATCAATACTCAAAAAAAAAATCGAAAATTGGTTTAAAAATAGCACTGTTAAATAAAAAATATAATAGGTTGAAATTTTTTTAAAGTGTAGTTGATGAGTTCCAGAAGAAAATTGACCCGAAAAAAAGTGATTAGCTCTCAAAATGCGAAAAATTGTATTTTGAACTTGTTAAAAATATTTTTCGACCCTTGTTAAAAATTGAGAATCTAACTGTTACAGATCCAAGACAATTTTTCGTGTCTATAACAAAATTAGTCAGCTCAAATTTCGAGAATCGGGAACATTTAGAACTGCCTAGTTTCTAAAAATATTACAGTAAGCACCCCAATAGTGTGCCCTTCAACAACTTTGAACTCATATATCGGTTCCTGTGAAAGACGCCAAAAAGGCGGCAACTAACAAAATATCTTTAATATTATGATAAACAATTTATCAGTCAACAAATTTTGAAAGCATTCACAGGAACCGATATATTAGGTTGTTCGGAAAGTCCTTTCCACTTTTGATATGTTGTTTTCAAACTTCGTTTTCTTGAAGGGGATAAAAGCGAGGAAGTTGTCGTTCTATCAGTATGCTGGTGAGGTCTAATAGTGTCTACACCCCAACGGAGATCATTCTCCTCTTTTCGTGCAGTGAGATATGCCCACCGTTTTCGCCTCTAATAATTTCCATTTTTGGACTACCATTTTATTTGTATTTCTATCTGACCTCAGATCAACTGAAATCAATCACCAATCTGTGGAGGTTAACAACGAAGATGCACCCTTTCGAACAAACTTCACAACCTGGATTCATCAATTTGAAAAATGAAAATTCTCGTTGGACGAAAATCCCCCTCCAAAAAAGCATACGGGCTCAAATTTGGACGCATTAAAAACCGAGATTGAAAGGGACCCGTCTCAAACTGTGCGGGATATATCAAGTACATCAGTGGCTAGACTTTCGTCAAAAAGCCATAAATTGGGAACTCTCGGCAAAGTAAAAAAAGTGGGAAGATATGGATCACACCTTTTCGCTCAAAGCAACTTTGTTTCATGTGTGGGCACCTGTTTGAATCTTCTCATCCTGCGTTGCACACATGAATGTTGAAGTTAAATCATTACTAGTGGCGATGAATGGGTAATGTATGATTACTATAAACAACAATCCAAGTGGGTTGACAAAGGCACTCAACCACCAGACGTCCCGAAACGTGAAATTAACGTAAAAAATGGGATGTTTTCGGCATGGATGTCTACCAAGGAGTGGAGTACTGAGAGCTGCCAGATAATGGTGTCACTTTTATGACCGATACCTATTTTTGTCAGGTGACATAACTCAGACTCCATGTGGATCTCCATTGGAGAGAAACACAAAGGTTTATTTTCAAAGTCGAAATTCGCAACCTCATGCGGGAAGGAGAACGGAGACCGATCTCACTGGATACGGCTAAACGGTTCTGTCTTATCTACGATTTTCAATGCTCTGTGGCCGGAGTTCTGGAAGGAAGGCACCCACAATTTGGTGGGACGTTGGCTGATAGTCACTGATAACAATGGTCATTATCTTCAATTTATCTGACATCGTTTTGACCTTTTTTATATCGAATGAATCTGACGCTAAAAATGGAAAGGACTTTCCGAACAACCTAATATATGAGCTCAAAGCTAACGGGTTGAGTGAGTTTCTATTTCAGGAAATACGGTATTCAGCAAAAATTTTATTTTCACAAGGATCGGACGAATTTTACTTACTTTTGTAGGTCTCCTAAATTTGGCCTTTTCCATTTAGGAATTTAAAAAAAAGAGGTTGATGGTAAGAAAATTCCGAGAAGGAAAAAAATCAGAAAAGTGAGGGAATACTGAAGAAGCAAGATCTGGAAACCTGAATTGTCACAATGAATTTTCAAATTTGTGTGTCAAAAACTACCGAATGACGAATTTGTCTAAATTTCGGAGACTAGCTTCTAAAGAACATCCATCACCCAGAGTTACTACTCATAGAGACGCACCTTCAAGTGTGTGACATCCCAAAATTAAGGATTACTGTAGTGAGAAAACTGGAGAACGAAAAAAAAGAAATGTGGAATACACTCAATTCTTGTTTCATTTGTTGAATGGATCTCATGACCACTACATATTTGTCTTCTCCCAGAAATCTCTCCATCTCTTTTTTCCCTTTAGTTGGTCGTTGCTCTTCATAATTAGTCAAATTCTTTTTTTTCGAGAGCCCATTGAGCTCAAAGAATATCATCTTTTTGCACACATTCTTGTTGCGACGATACAATTTGAAAAATGGAATAGCAAATGAGAAGAAATATGCAATTATTGGTGAGAACAAAATGAAAAAAAAAACCCGGAATGAAGAAAAAAACACAGAAGCGAAAATGCTTAGTTTCTTTTTCTTTACATCAGGGGAGCTCGAAATTGAAGAAAAAAGAAATGAGAATGTTCCTTCCGTCAAAATGAGTAAATATGATCCGCGATCTTGGCAAATATAGACCAGATTCTAAAAATCATAAGATTTAGTTTTGGGTGCAAAACTGTTGACAGGACTTGGTTGGTTGGTTGGAGAAGAGGGAATCCTGGGAACATCGGAAGGTTTTCTTTTATATTTTCAGTTTGGAATTTTTTGTTATTTCTGATATAAGAAATGTGTGCTTGGTTTTTGGTTTCTATAAATGCTTTTGAAACATGCAATAAGAGGGCCCCAACACTCTCCAGGTCGAGCACAATTATCTGAATTACTGTGCAATATATCAAAAATGTGTCAGCTGACAAAATGTGACTGATATTATGATAAAAAATTTATCAGTTGACAACTTTTTGATATCTTTGGCCGGAGCCGAGATAAAGTAGCTCAAAGTTAAAAGTTAGAAGGCCCTTCTTTTACCGGTTTTACAGTATATTTCAAAGCTGTATTCTTTCGAATGGACCAAATAGTTTTGTCTAGTCATTTTTGCAGAAATTCAGAATTCATGGTCCGATGGTGTCTCTGAATTCCGTAAAACAATTTTTTTAGAAACACCAAAAAGTACCCAAAGCATATGACCAAAAAATGCTATGTTTTCAACGGAAATACAATTTCAAATTCATTGAAACGGAATGAAAATTTCGAAAGAAATTCGAAAATACTTTCAAAGTGGGTGGTACCGACACCATAGAAAGTGGGCGGAGCTTTCAAGTTCAGATTGTACTTGAGATTTGAAACTAGCTGAGAAGACGTCACTCTATTTGTTTGTAAGTTCAGCAGACATTATGGATGAATGCATTCAAACATAAAGAAAACTTGGGGGACATTTTTGGGATAGAAGAACATAAAAAATGAGTGGAACATGCACTTCATTTGATTGACATTCAGCGTCTTTTTGCATGATGAATGTGGATCAGTTTACGAGGAATCGAGGTCAAGAGCTCAAAATAAATCATAAATTCAGGATGATGAATTTGTTTGGGATCTTTGAAGAAAAATGAAGTATTGGTCTCTTGGTTTTTGCATTTTTTAGTAAAGGGGTGTCTCAAAAGGACCAGGTTAAAAGCTAGTGACGTATAGGTTCCAGGTTCAAATGCATTTAATATTGAATAAGGAAAATGATGAATGAGTTAGATTTTTTGAAATTGGACTCTTGATTTTCAAAAAGTTGAATATAAATTTGAACTAAAATTTAACAACATCTCATTCTGAAATTAAGCAAATCAAAGGTATCCACTGTAAAGCTTTAATTTGACTAATTCCCGCGCAAGCTCAAGAGATGCATCTCCTGCCTCTTCAACTAACAAATCTCGTCTTGAGAACTTCTTTCAGACTAAAAAGAAAAAAAAACACTTTTTTGAGCCAAAAATTGGTTTCAAATTTCCCCCATTTTTCTGTGATCTTTGTGGGGAAGAGTTTTCGAAAATAGAACAAGAAAAATGATAGTTTGTCCTCCGGACAAAGTTTCCAGAACACACAAATTCAATTTTACGAGGACATCATATCGCTTTTTTTAGCTCCATTTTTTTCTTTTCTGCTCAACGATCGTCAATTTCTAATTTTCTTTTTTTCTGAACTTTCATGGACCAAGAATCGTAAAGTAAAGCCAAACAAAAACGGTGAGACTTCCAAGAAGAAAAAAATCAGAGCGAGAGATAAAGGACATAATTGGGTTGACAGCTGAAATAAGACAACAGAAAATAAAGAAGAATTGGAAGAAGAAAAAAATGGAAAGGAAAAGGAAACGGAAATGGACAGAAAACATAACAAGTTGGTATGGATAGACAGGAGCAAAGTTGGATGTGTAGGAGGATTTATGAGATTTATGAATTCAGTTTTTAGGATTCTTAGGTTCAAAAAATCTTAATATCGAGTCACCAGAGTTAAGCTGCTGCTTGTAATTTTTTCTTCAAGTTAATAGTTTTCGGAAAATATTTCAAACTACAGTGAAATCAAATAGCTCCATGATGGTGTGCGAGGAAAAATTGTGTTTCTTTATTTTGGCTAATACAGTATTTAAAGTCATAAGAGGAATACTGTAGGGAGAATATTCGATGGTAAAAAAGAGATTCGGATATACTTTAGGGAAAAATATTTGAAATTCGGAAGGATTACTGTAGGGAAAATATTCGCCATTGAAAAGGATTACTGTAGGGAAAATATTCTAAAATTGAAATTTTATAAGGGCTCCTTTTCTTTTAACTTTGAACCAATTTAATTCTGTTCCTGTCAGAGATACAAAAAAATTGTCCACCGATAAATTATCATATCATCCGAAGTTGACACATTTTTGATATTTTGCATAGTAATTCAGATAATTGACTTAAACTTGAGTGTAAGGGACCCTTCTATGTATAACAGGATTTTCGGTAGTTTATATTTTCAGCTTCTCCTCAATGAGTAGAAATCAATCAAACTATTTTTAAAGCCGTCCCATAAGTACACCCTTCCTCTACAATTCTCCCCCATTTCCTTTTCCAGAACATCTTGACAAGAAAATGAGTTTCCGACTGGCCACTGATCCTCGAAACCTAATAAAACTATACTGAGTGCGTCGTCCGTTTTCTCCCAGAATCCAGAATCAAACTACACTAAAAAAGATTGGAAAAGGGTTAAAAGAAGTGGATTAAAAGAAAGATAGGTTTGATTGTGACAAATGGTAGTTGTTGGAAAAGAAGAAGGAGAAGAGAGGATTACATTTGATGGAATTACATGGAAAACATGGAATATGGAATGATTTCAATGGAACTAGAGGGGACACGAAGATGCTGGAACTCTGAATTCTGAATGAATGGGGATTCTGAAAACAAAACTATTGATGAAATATTTTTAAAAAAATAACAAAAAATACAAAAATTGAAAAAAATTGGAACACAATTCGAACTCTTAGCCTACTACTTATACAGAACGCGATAAACGCCCACTTTGCAACTTCTTCAAAACCATAGAACCACTTCTTTTTTTTTGTTTTCTTCCTGCTTCATATTTCATATTTTCTGCAAACTAACGACGTCATCATTGTCAATGTCTCCGGAAAAAAGTTTTGGTTTCAACAAAAAAACTTTGAACTTTTTGTTTTGAGCGGAACTCTCCGTTAGACTTTTCTGTGCTTCTAAAAACACAATAAAAACAAAAAAGGCAGAGTTCTCTATGTTCCAAGAGTTAGGCTTAATTGCCAACTAGGGATTTCATAAGACGATCGCTTGGAATCGGAATTATTATAATAAATAGAATAAAGAGAGGAAATTTAGTAATCCGATGAAACGTTTGATTCCGAAAGGAAACATCTCCAGGGAATATACCAGACGTTGAGCTAATTGCTGTTTTCTCAAAAGATGAATCACTTTTTGTGTTGGACAGATGACTTACTGGGAGGGAAAAAAGTGATAAATTGGAGGGAAATTTTTGAAAGTAAGGACAGAATTTTCATTGGTGGATGCAGAATATATTACAGAATTTAGGACTTAAACCAAGGATCAGAATTTTATCTGAACGTTTATCTGAAGGTAAAATTAATTGAATCCTGTGACAATCAGATGAAGAATAGGATAATGCTCGGGAAAAAACTGGAAAAAATTCAAAAACAGATGATGTTAGTGGCTGGAGAGACCAAGCTCTAGTCTCTATGGTGTTTTTTATGAGGCTGGGAGGTCTTTGTATACACCCAGGGTAAAGAAATAGGTGTAAACAAGTAGAAAAGATGGTAGAAGAACAAAAGCTTTTAAATAGAAACATTGAAGAAAAAAACTAATAAGCCATACAGTGCCGAGAAGTGATGAGAGTGATTTCTATATACAGTACCGGTCAATTAGATATACAAAAACGTTTCAGTTGATTTCTGGTCGTTTGGACTGTTTTCAATAGTCTGGAGGTCGGCTGTCAAGTTTCCTATCACATTGAAAATTTCGGACGGTCTGAAACAAACCTGCATTGAAAACTTTGCATTCACTGAATTTTTATAAATTCCTAATTTTCAGCTATTTGCTCATTTCCGAAAGACACATTTTTTCCGTTTTCAGTATAAAACCGGGCCTTAAGCGGAGACTTTACAGCCGAGCTCAAGACACCGGAAAATGGTCAAAATGGCTGAAAATCAACAGAAAGGTACTGTAGGTCACATAAACTCACATAGACTTATCCCAAATTATTGCAATTTTCTCGTGAACTTTTTTCATTTTCCACGTGTGAAGTTATCCGGAAGACGACGTGGAGAGCTGATGGCTTATAGAAGATTCCGGAAAGTCTTCAATTTTACTATCTTCTGTTCTGAATTCCAAGATGAACGATGATAAATTGATCAAAAAACCAAAAGAGAAACAAGTTAGAAAGTCAGTTTTTTACCTCTGAAATTTCCCTAAAAGTTGCATAATCTATATTGCAGAGATCAATCCTCATCGAACCTTTTCGTGGGGACAAAAGAAGACAAAAAGAAAAAGAAAACTCAAGTTTCTCGTTTAGAAATTGGAGTTCCAGATCCTATAGAAGAGCAACAAAAAGTGCTTGGACGTCCAACTCCATGTACTGTACTTGCTGTCAGTACAACACTTTTCATCCTGATAATTCTGATAATTTCTCTTGGACAATTGGGATTTCATAGTGAAGAGGATTTCAAATGGACACCAGCACTAAACTATCATCAAAGAAAGCGTCTGGACCAACCGTGTGAAACTATTGAATGTGTCAAATATTCTGCTTCTTTGGTTAGTTGTCCAAATGCAAATGTCTATTTAATTATCTGATCGTTTTCAGCTTGAATCAATGAATTCCTCGATTGATCCATGTGAAAACTTCCATGAACATGTCTGCTCTGGTTTCACTCCAAAGAAGAGAAACTTTGATAGACTTCTGTCGTTAATCATTGCTCATCAGGATACAGATCATGACAAAGCGGTGAATATTGTACGAAAAATGCTGAGCAAGTGTGCATTAGGAGAATCGACTCAGCCGAGGGAGAATCTTAGCACAATTATCCCTGATGGAATCCCATTTCCAATTCTCTCCATCAATTGGACGTCGTCTCAAAACGCTTCTGATGCATCGAACTCCACTCATTCAGATCTGACTCAAATACTGATTCATATCATCAAGCATACCTCAGATGACGCAGGAATAATTGGAATCACTCCATCAACGGATTCAGAATTCACGATGTTTACTGTCAAACCGAATTCTCCTTCCCTGACTTTATATCAGTTCCGAAACGTTTTGGATATTCTGAAAAGAAGTGTACCAGAGAGTATCTCAAACACAACACAATACAAGGAAATGGATTATCAGAAGAAGTTGAACGATGTCGTTAATCTTCAGAAACAATTGGAAGAGGTAGGTGATTCTTCAATTACCGTAAAATCTCCAATAGAAGGGTCCCTAACTTTTAATTTTGAGCCTATTCATCTTTATTTATTTATATCGATTCTTTCCAGAGGTATAAAAAAGTTATCAGCTGTTAAATTGTTTATCATGATATCATAATTGTTTTATCAATTGACACATTTTTGATATCTTCCATAGAAATTCAGAAAATTGAGCTCAAAATTGCCAGTGAGGCCCTTTTTTTCACATTTTAAGGGTACCTCGACTATTATCAATTTCCTTTCAGATAGAATTCGCTGCAAATCCAGATGTCCTTCCACTGGCCTTCATGCAAGAACAACTTCCGATTATTGATTGGGGATTGCTAATGGACTCATGGTATCCGAATGGAAGGCTTACATTCAATGAAAAAGTTTTTGGATTCAACACCACTTATTACAGAAAAGTAGGGTTTTCTCTCTTTCCAGTTAGTAACTTTTGATTTTTAGATCAATGAGCTTCTGATTTCGACACCTTCTGAAACTCTGTACAACCTTCTTCTTCTTCGGTTTTCCTTTAAATTTTTGCGAGCAGAACTGTCTTCAGAACTGGAGGATACGTGTCTTCTTCAAGTTTCTCGGACTGTCCCTGGAAAAATAGTCTTACATGGATCGGCTGAACCGAAAGCGACGGAATTATTTGATCAGATGCGTCAAACGATTCATAATCATTTGCGAAATTCTCTGACTTCTCTAAAATGGATGGATGAGAGAGGAATCAAAGAAGCGCAGAGGAAGTTGAACAGAACAAAGACGTTTTTCGGATTTAATGGAGAAGATTTGATTGATGAATTGGATATATCATATGGTTACAGTTATATATCAACACTTTGTCGAGTTTTAGTATGGCAAACGAAGAATATGTTCAGAGCGATCGCTGAAAATACAGTAAACATATTTTTGAATGCCGAGGTGTTTTATTCGGTTGAAAGGAATGAGATAAGTGAGATCGTATTTGAAAATAAAATGTATAAATGTTCCTTTTCCAACCATTTCTCGTTCACTTCTCCATTACCCATTCATATCATCTCATCTCCCCAACTACACAAACTTTGCGACCGTTGCTTCCAGAATCATTCCTCAGCTGATCCATATTTTTGATGAGCGTGGAAGATTTTATGATTCAAAAGGAGTGCATCGAGATTGGTGGAATACGGAAACGGAGAGATATTTCATGCTCATTAAACTATGCTTTATGAAAATGCAGGTAAGGCGAACGGAGATGTAAAACGAAGAGATATGTTTTTTTTTCTAGCAAAACGTTCTTGGAGCGAGTGTTAGTGTTGGATGGAATGCATATCATTCGACAACAGAACCATATGAAGTACTACCTGGAATGAATAAAACTGATGCCCAACTATTTTTCTATAGTCTTGTGAAAGTAGGAGATCCATTTTGTCATATTTTATAATCTTGTTTTTTTCAGACAATGTGTAATTCCAATTCAGTAAAAATCAACGATGCTCTTGAGAGTGTTCCCGAGTTCAAAAGTGCTTTCCACTGCCAAAATGGCACTGTAATGAATCCGACGACAAAATGTAGGATGGCTGCTTGATGAAGTATTTTTATCTTATGATTTGTGTTCTTCTGTTTTCATAAATCCTTTCGAATTTCTTAATTTTCATTTTTGAGATCTGCAGATGTTGGTTCAATAGTAAACCGAAATAAAGTTGTGTTTCGCGAAGTTAGACAACGTCATAATTCACCAAACCAGTCTACTGACGAATATTTAGGTTATAGGATACAGGCTACAACAGGCTACATTTTGGTGATAGATTTCATGGTAAAACTCGGACTTCTTTGGGTAGCAGATATGTCCGGATTCCGGATTCTGTACTCTTTTATACCAGATCCCGTTTTCCGGAATCCGAGAAAATTATTTTATTTCGGATTCAAAAAAATTCATTCCGGACATCTCTGCTGGTTTGGTCTGAAAACAGAAGCAAAGTTTGAAAAGGAAGAGTTTTCGTTAAGTAGACGATTCTCATCCTAGAACTTCTTGGCTAGAAGCTAATCTAACATCAAAAATCACCTTTTGTTCAAAATGTCTGATAAGAATTCTTCGTTTGAGAATACATCACTCGACCTAAACTACCCGTTGACCCACGATTTTCGATCATCATGTAGTCTACAGTATTTTCAAAAGTCTCTGATCTTGCGTTATCATCTTATGGTATCGTCAAATGATAAACACCATATCTTTTCCCTTTTCTCGGTCACTATAAAAATAAAAATCACTTGTTTTTAATTTCTTCAATAGAGGAATCAAGTTAAAAATGAACTCATCTCAACTTTTATGGACATTTCTAGTCGTTTTTGCACTTTTTTCAACACTTCCAGTTCAATCAAAGTAAGTTATGGTTTGATTTGATATCTGAGAATTCTCAAATTTTTCAGTATCGTAACCCGTGTGAAACGTCAATGGGGGTTCGGATATCCACTGTTTGGAGGAGTCGGAAATTCATGGGAAGTGCCGAGTAATCTTCCAACTTATTGGGGATACAATGCCTACGGTGGCCGATGAATCAATTTTTAATTTTTCAAAATTTCGGATTCGATGAAACATTTTTTCCTTCTAAATTTTCGTTTATGCTGGAAAAACATAAAAAAGAGTTATGGCAGCAAAATTTATTATGATTAATTGAGATCCTTGAAATAATGATAAAAATTATCTAATTATTATCTTCTTCATCATTCGATCCAACGACTTCCCCTCTTTCACTTTTATCCTGGTCCAGTGTTCTCTGCTTTCTCTCGTTTTCGTCGTCCTCTGAATCCGTTGGAATTCCGAAAGTGATGCGTAGCTCTTCTGGAGATTTTCCTGCCGCCATTTCAGAGACTTTTCTGCACAGGTGGACCATCAGAACGGGAATGTCCAGGTAGTTGACAGCTTGAATCAAATCGAATAGTGTCTCGTTGTCGACAGCCATGAAATGACGATCCCAATCAGTGATGTGGATGGGTTCTGTTGGATAACGAGAGTCGACTGGTTTGTCAACTTTGTGATGCTCACACCATGTCACAATCTTTTCCAGCACCGTTGAGTTCATGTTGTCCACTGGGATGGTAGCCTGCTCTCCTTTATCTGAATAAAGACCGCAACTTCCAACAAGACTCGACAGAGTAACTGAGTTACGGATGGCGCTATCAGAGATCTTAAATGGTTTCTTATCCGAAGAGACAAGGATGTAGCTGGTGGATTCTGGAGTTGGCGTGGATTCGGCATCAGTCGAGGGAGTAGCGTCAGAAGACATGTTGAATTGGATATCTGAAAGATTTTTCTACAAGAAACAAAATTTCTATACTAAAAAGGAGAAAAGAAGTGAAGCGAAAACAAACGAGATAATAGCTGTGAGGAAGTCGATAGAATACTAGCGCAGAGGATGTGGCTCCCTCTTTTTGTCTGTGCAAACACTGCTGCGGTAGAATGCGTACTAGTATGAGGAAGAGAGAAGAAGTAACCTAGTAAGAAGAGGAGAGGGTTTCTAGATGATTCCAGAGAAAACAGCGAAGAAAAAAAAAGGAAAACGGGAGACTCTATTCAGAAAACTGCAGAACAATTCAGTCGAAAAATTTTCAAAGTCTTTATAGATCAAAAGTTAGCATTATAGATCAAAGCATTATGTTTGAATCTTTTGGTTTTTTGGACGAATTTTTCTTTGAATTCGAGATATCGAGCTGAAAATTTCCACAAAATATGTTTGTGCCTATACACATACATATCGCAAAGTTTCATCAAAAAGTTTTGAGAAATGACATTTTTGAAAAAGTTTCCAATTTATTTTATTGTTTTGGAATCTTTTTTTTTCAAAAATCTGTAGATAGATTAATCTAGATAAAGTGGGAAGCTGAATTTTTAATTTAGGTTCGTATATATATATATATATATATATATATAACCCCAACAAGAGACCTAGTTTCGCCTCTTTTGGAGATTTTTGGAAAAATATATTTCGAAGGGTGTTCTGAAAAAGTTTTTACCAAAAGTAATGTCTTCTGGCAACAATACGAAATATTTGATCGAAAAAGAAAAAACGGGGTGACAGACAAATGACGGGAAAAGTATAGGCCTTGTGACTCACAAGTTGTGAGAAACCGCCCAAAGAAGACAACTCAAAAAAAGACGGAAAAAAAGTCTTTTTCTTTTTTGAACACATTCACAACTTGAAAAGGAAACATTTATTCGTCTGCCTAAAGGGAGTAAAGTATTTCAAAATTCAGTAGCAATTTTATGACTGTTCCAAAATTCAGCGTCACCAAAATCCACTGTTGAAGCTACTGTATGAACTGGAACTGAAACTGGAATAGCTTCCCCATGAACTGCTACCGTAGCTCCCACCCATTGGGAAACCACCTCCATAACCACCGCCCGGATATCCGCCACCGTATCCTCCATATCCGCCACCGTAACCACCGCCATATCCACCACCATATCTGCCACCCCATCCTCCATATCGTTTTTCTCGGTGTCTGAAATCGACTCATTTTTCAAGCTGATCGAAGTTACAGTAAGACTGCTCACCCTTCTGGAGCTTTCCATCCCAAGTTTTTAGGATGATTCAGATTGTGTAAACCCGCTTCTACATCCGTTGATGCAGAAGCCGTAGTCATAACGACAGAAGCGAGAAATAAAAAGAAGATAGTATTCATTTTTGAACAGAGGGTTCATTGCCTGAAAATTCATTCTCTGCTTTTATAATTTTGTAATTGTTACGCCTCATTTCCAATTCTGTCTTCTGAGTTTTAACAATTCGGCAAATACCCCGATAATAATATTTCGAATACCACAAAATACCAACCAAATCGTTAATTCCTGGTTGTCCTCTCTCTACGTTTTGCAGCAGAATCTGATTCAGATGAAGTCCCGATTGTTAAAACTGTTTACTAATATTACAACTGTTGACCCAACGACTACCTTGATTCATCAGAAGTGCATTTCGACCAGAAGACAATCCGAAGAACCGGATTGTGTGGTCCTGGTAGGGAAGAAGAAGTGAATCGATTTGACGAACCATTGTCTGGTTCCTAGTTTTTTCAGCCAACTTGGTCACCTACTGAACGGGGAAAGAAAGACAATTTGATAGCAAGGAAAAATATGGTGACGCAAGAGTAAGACATTGGGATAGTATAAAAGGGTCAGAGGTGGAATTTTTCTACTATCAGCAGTTGTCTTTCTTCGATTGTATATTTTAGCAATAATGCAAAATAATACATTATTCTTCCTGTTTGCCGTTTTTCTTGTTTCACTATGTCATACTTTTGAGTTGGATCATCCGGAAAATTTGATGTGGAGAGCTCCAGAAGGGTAAGACTTTTATCAGATTCTACCAATTTCAAACCTATCTTTTCAGGGTCCGCGTGAAAAGACAATGGGGTGGTGGATATCCTGGAATGTACGGAGGCGGAGGTTATCCAGGAATGTATGGAGGTGGTGGATATCCGGGTGGTGGTTATGGAGGTGGAATGCCAATGGGCGGAAGCTATGGAAGCAGCTCTTGGGGAAGCTATTCGAGCTCAAAATCAGGAGGATTCAGCAGCTTCAATACTGGATTCTATGGAAGATAATATTCACGAAATTCAATGCGATGGTCTCATTTTCTGTTTTACTCACTATTGTCCCTAGACAAAATGAACGTTTTTCAATTTGAATCGGAAAAATTAAAAAATACATTGACTAAAAGAAACGGTGCAATATAGATTAAAAACTGGTGAAATAGAACAAGAAACAGATATGACATGATGGATAGTCCATTGGAAACGAAGTCTTTTTACTACCACATAGAGTATCTTGAATGTGGGTGTTTTTTCTTCGGAGAAGACGGGCTTGTACTTGAAAGGAAACTGAAAAAATTATAAATTTTTTAGTAGAATCTGGATGTCACTAACGCAAAATTGAAAGGAGAATAGCCTCCTGAAGCTCTCGGATGCACATCTTGATGGAGTTTTGCTGGAGTTCCCGGCATTTGTGTAGTGCTTTGATCCGATGACATTTTTATTTTTCTTTGGTTGTGATTTGATGTTGAAAAAAATTGGGTAAAAGTTGGGAACTCCTCGATTTGATTGAAGTTTGGAGTATAACTCATTTCAGACGTTTTTGTCATGTTTAGGTTGAACTGAAATTCGAAATACACTCTGATTGTGAGAGCAGATTTATATGACAACGTACAAAATCTTCTTGACGATCTGGAGAGTCCGATTCTTTGAGAAAATCTAGTGGATCTGGTGAATCGCTCATTTCTTTTTCAACACTTTTTCTTTCCTCGGTGCTCAATAACCTTTTATACAAAGGTTTATTTGAATCTTCTTTTTGTTGTTCGTACTCTTCGTAATCGCTGAAACCCTTGATGAATGAAATAAGAAGATACACAAATTGCCTTGAAATGACATCGTGAGAATAAAAAGGATTTGTTGGAGGATGATCAGTCTCGTCATTGAAATCTTCCCTGAATATCAACCAATCGGATCGTTCCACCATTACATCGAAGACTGGAATCGATTTCTTGCAGTCGTTTTCTTTCTGAAAATAAATTAGATACATTTTAACGAGAGCAATTATCATGTACCGTTTGTGCCAAAGCGACAGTCATAAGCGCTTTCTCCACTTTTCCCATTGTAGTATCTGTGTGATTTTGGAGAGGTAGTGTTGGAAGAGCACCGATTTGATCAAGACGAGATGAAAATCGCGCTATTGTTGTTTCGAATCCGTCAGGATATTCAAAATTTCCTGTTTTTTTTGGTTTTAGATAAGACGAACTTTCCGAGTCAGAAGGAATTATTCTCATCCACGGAATAACTGGTTTCTTATGAGAAGACGTTGTTGGAGTTTTCTTTGGGTATTCTTCGTCAGAGTTCAAACGCTTCGAGGTTGGAACATTGCTATTGTTTCTTTCGGTGACATCGCTAAAGTCCCAAGTCTGCGATAATTGTGCTTTTGGAAGATTGAAAATCTTCGAAACTCGTTTTGGTGACTCTGAAAATGATTTCGACACAACAGGATGTTTGCTTGGTGAGATCTGAAAATTAAATTATTGAATTGTTGATGCTCATGTGGATGATGGTACCTGTAGATGACTAGCTGGAGCAACATGAACTGAGCTCTTTGCATTAGCGAACATTCCAGCGAGCACATGTGGTTTTTTACGTCTCTGAAAGAACCTTTATAAGAACCTTTTTTCTAGCAGTAATCTATACATTTTTGTATACGTTTCTAGCAGAAATCTATACATTTTTGTATACATGAACCTGTTCTCCGGTTAGTTTGGATGAACAAAAAAGCGTTTGGATGGTTTTATCCGTGAACGTTCTTGAAAGAAAAAGTGGGTGAGGATGCCAAGAACCTCCAGAAAGCATAAGAATCCAAGTAAGGCATGTAGAATTTTATAGCACTTTTTCACTACATACTGACAAACTCACTTACTCGGATTAACTAACCAAAATGTTGTAAGTTGTCTAAGCTTCAAAAAAACTAACACGTGAGATGCACTTACTCTGAAGTATGTTTCTTCGTTGCTAGAAAACGTACGGTTTGCTGTAAGAATAAACGGAATTTTCGAAAAAATAATTCAAAAATTCAGCATACCTGGTTTGACAGATTGGAAACTCGATGGCCTTTTCTGAGTTTCAGAATAATTTCCCTTTTTGAATTTGGGTCCATCTTTTCGTGGAAACATTATAAAACATGAACTCGAAATATTTAGTATGTCGCAATTTGCTCGCAATTCGACTCGCAAAGCAACGAAAAAGTTTATGCAAATGCTACAGTAAGAAGTATAATTTCGTTTCGAGACCTTGGTATTTTTTAGCGAAGCGCCTTTCATACAGTACAAGGCGCTCTTTTTCCGGCACGGCGCTTTTTTTTCGCTGGAAGTCCAGTTTTTTCAAACCTAGTTTATTACCTAAATTTTAAGAATATCAATGTGTGTTATCGTACATTATGCGATAGGAAATATTCATATTCTTCGCTTCGCAAAATTATCGAAGTTCTGTTTTTTTTGCCGTACTTATTTACTCTGAAACATTTTTCTTGAATTAGCACTTTTCCCGCTTTTCCTCGGATTTTCGCATATTTGTCCAAATTTGCGAGGCCTCTGCAGAGTTTTCTGGTGCAAACCCGCTCTTTTGACAACGCCGGAGACACCTCGGCGGTAGTTTTGAACGAGAAACGTCTGTTCGACGCTTTATTCAAAACATTAACGTTTTTTTCAGCTTTTTTTTTCAGCAGTTATCGGTTTCGCAAGATGAACAATAGGGGGAGAACGCCAGGAAGCTCCGGAAGAACGGTCAGGCCGTCCGTACAGCAAAACGGATTGACCATGCGAAAACGCGATATGACTCCAACCCGTAACACAAATCTCGTCCCAAATGCATCATTCATTGGAGATCGGTTCCTCGGAGTTCGTCTCGACCAAGACGAGTTAGATCATGCAAATCATCTGATGACTAGTAAACTTTACAACGTAAGCTGACTCAATTCTGGTTATATCTTCGAATATTAATTTTTCAGAAAGAAAACCTGAATAATTCCATATCAGAACCTAACAGTCCGGAGAAGAAAAATGTTGAAAGCGAAGCTCTGAAACAAATGATGCGCCACAAGTCTGCTGGAGCCCTCACCGACGCTGACGATGGAGATCGGATTTTGTGTTACAAGAAAAATCTTGCGCCTCCACCTGCCATCGGATACATTAACCAGGCAAAAGTAGCTAATATATCAACATTATTCATCTATATCGCTTGATTTGTCAACTAACAGTCTCGCTTCAGGTCCTGTACAGCACCAACAGCGTGATCAATCCTGCATCATCAGTCAAGAAGTCGACTCGCCATGTGAAAGAGAGTGCCTCGAAAGTTCTCGATGGTCCTGGCCTCACAAGTAAGAATTAGATTTGATAAAATAGTTAATGGTTTTAAATCACAGAGGATCTCTACTCCCGACATCTCGATTGGGGTTGTCACAACTGGGTGGCTGTCGCACTTGGTCACGAGTTGTATCTCTGGAATACGGAAACATGTGTCATCAAGGTATTGTGTGAATCCATTTTCTTGCAATTATGAAACATTTTACAGAACTTTTTCGAAGACAATGCTCCGACAAGCGAAGGAATGATCACTTCCGTCCGATGGAGCCAAGAAGGACGTTACATCTCGTTGGGATATGCCTCCGGAGCTGTCAAAGTAATTTTCATTCTACTATTCATATATACACTATTTGCTTTGAAGATCTACGATCCTAATCGTCCAAAGACAACTGAATACGTGAGAGAGTTAAGAACTCTTCGAGTCGGAGGAGCATCTAGATGTGGTAAGTTCGTTTCAATGTTATCCGATCGCTAACCAGATGGTTGAGAATATTTGTTTTCTGTGCCATAATATAATTATCTAATTTTCAGCGTCAATTGCCTGGAAGAAGCAAGGAGTGATGACATGCGGCTACAAATCAGGAGATATTGTTAATCATGATGTTCGTGTTGCCCAGCATGTCGTAAGCTCGTGGGGAGGAGACAATGGTCATTCCCGCGACATCACTGCTCTGGAATGGTCAAGCGACGAGAACATGTGTGTCAGTGCATCCTCAGACCGAACAGCCAAAGTCTGGGATGGTCGCCATACGAGAGGAGATGGTGTTGTTCAAGATCCTGTAAGTTTCCTGTGTTAATTAGTTTTTCTGGACAAATACGTTTCAGGAACCTCTATTCACCATCGATGAGCACACTGGACAAGTCCGAACAGCTCAATTCTGCAGTTTCCGAGATGGAATCCTTGCCACGGCAGGAGGAATCAACGACGGAACGGTTCGACTCTGGGACGTGAAAAGGCAATGCCAGAAAATACGAGAACTCAATGTGTGCGAAACTGGCGGAGTTGGAGGAATCGTCTTCAATCGCCCCTACTCTGAGATGCTTACAGCATCTGACGATGGTTTCCTGCGAATCTTCAGATTCAATGCCAACTACAAACTTTCGCACGAAATTCAAAGTAAATTTGAGATACACGAGCTATCCTTCATGATTACTATTTTCAGCATCAAACGAGCCGATCATGGATCTGGTTGGATCACCATACGACGAAGTTCTCATCGGAGATATGGAAGAGACGTTGAAGGTTTTCCAACTGTTCACCGTCGATAAGAGCACTAACATTTTGGACAGAACAGCACCGAAAAACGTCGGTCTCAATGTTCGATAAAGATTATACTATTCACTTTTTCACTTTTTTCAAGATTTTTCTTTCCTTCACCTTCCCTCGATAACTGACTCTCACTTTCAATTTCATAGAAGTTTGCTGTGAATGGTACCTTAATTCAAGCTTCCTAGATATTATCCTATTACAATTGCAAAGCTGTGCGTTGTTATTCTCTGTCTTTTTTTTTGTCATGCAACCTCATTTCGATTCAATAAAGTTTAACTTTCAAATAACTTGTTACTTTTACTTTTCAAGTTTGAGACAACGAAACAGGTCAATTGCCTTATCTTATCATTTTTTTTCATGTCACTTCGGAAGAGTAGAAATTGTTCTGTTCTTCTCTATATCGTTGTCTAACCTATTCACATTTTTACAAATGCGAAGATCAATAAAGATCCTCGCTGAAAATCTGGAAAACTGCCCATATACTTCGGCGACTACAACAGCTCCGCCACGTCGATTTTCGGAAATTCCCGGACCGCGAGAAATTCCAGTTATAGGAAATTCTGGAAATCTAAAATATGCCATTGGCACTGGTGAGGTTTGATTAGGTCATATCTAGTTATTGTCTCTAGGTCAGATGCGGAAACTATCGAAAACTACAATAAGCATCTGGAGGAGATGTACAACAAGTATGGAAAAATTGTGAAAGAAAATTTAGGGTTCGGCAGAAAATATGTTGTTCATGTGTTTGATCCTGGTTCGCTTTTCTTGTACCTTTTTATTAATATTTGTATTATTTTAGCTGATGCACAAACTGTTTTCGCTGCCGATGGAAAGACTCCTTTCATAGTCCCACTACAAGAAACGACACAGAAATATCGAGAAATGAAAGGAATGAATCCTGGCCTTGGAAACTTGTGAGGACTATTTAGTTTTTCATTAATTTTCAATGGATCGTTTCAGAAATGGCCCAGAATGGTATCGCCTACGATCTTCAATTCAACATGCCATGATGCGACCCCAATCTGTTCAAACGTAACAATCTGAATACAGAGTCGACATAATTCGTTTCTTTTTAACTCATTTTAGGTATCTTCCGTTCTCCCAAAAAGTATCCGATGATTTAGTGAGACACGTGGCAGAGGAACAGATTCGATTCGGAAATGCTAACATGCAGAAAGTGGCTGGAAGATGGTCACTTGAGTCAGCTGGACAAATTCTCTTTGAAAAGTCGCTAGAGTCGCTGGGAAATCGATCTGAATGGGCGGATGGTCTTATTGAGCTCAACAAAAAAATATTTCAGTTATCCGCAAAGTGAGGTTGTTTAACGACATTTCCAAAAATGATTCTGGATATTCAGAATGCGATTAGGTCTTCCCATTTTCCGCCTCTTTTCAACTCCTTCATGGCGAAAAATGGTGAAGTTAGAGGATGAGTTTTACGCAGAGGTGGATCGTTTGATGGATGACGCATTGGATAACTTGAAAATTAGTGAATCGGATAGGTATTAAACTTCAATACCAACGAAAACATAAAACAGAATTTCAGTCAAAACATGAGATTCGCCAGTTATCTCATTAATCGGAAAGAGCTTAATAGAAGAGATGTGAAGGTGATATTGCTATCGATGTTCTCAGATGGACTCAGCACGGTGAGCAATTCATTTTCGCAAAAATGGAAAAAGTTGTTTATAGACTGCCCCAATGCTGATTTACAACCTCTATAACATTGCCACCCATCCAGAAGCACTACGAAAAATTCAAGAAGAGATAAAGGAGGACCCTACATCTTCTAAGCTTCCATATCTTCGTGCCTGTATCAAAGAAACATTCAGAATGTTCCCTATCGGAACAGAAGTCTCGAGAATTACTCAAAAGGATTTAACTCTATCAGGATACTTAATTCCTGCTGGAACTGCAGTTGATATTAACACAAATATTCTCATGAGGTGCGTACTGTCATAAAAACGCTTTAAAACTATTTTTCCAGAAATATGGTTCTGTTCTCTGACTCCCCTCACGAGTTTAAACCGGAACGATGGCTGGAAAAATCAAAAAGTGTCCATCCGTTCGCTTTCCTTCCGTTTGGATTCGGGCCGCGATGTGTGCAGGAAGAAGGTTCGCTGAACAGGATCTTCTCACATCACTTGCCAAGTTGTGCGCAAATTTCGATATTCGTCACCGCGGAGAGCCGATAACACAGATATACGAAACTCTGCTCTTGCCTCGAGGAAATTGTGAATTCGAATTCAAAAAATTGTAAAAAATTCCATAAATTGATATATTCTGTCGGATGAGAACTTTTAATTTTTACTTTGTTAAATATGAACCAATGTGTATAAACCATCTGAAAGTCGTTTTTTTTCTTTTTGCTTAAATTTGATGTCAATCGAAAAAAAATTTTCTCAGAAAAACTGAAGGGAGATCCCGCAAATTCCGGGGAAAAAAACTCCGGGGAAAAGTGGGCGGAGTCGAGAAATACTGTGCGGCAAAACCGTGCCAAGGTTGCAATTTAGGCTCCGCCCCCTCATGACCGTGTCCAAATGTGCAGAAAAACCGTGCCAGGGTTGAATTTTAGGCTCCGCCCCCGACTCCGCCCACTTTTCTCCGGAGTTTTTTTTTTCCCGGAGTTTGCAGAGTCTCCCTTCAGTGAGGTCCCGCAAATTCCGGGGAAGAACGCTCCTGTGAAAACTGGGCGGAGTCGGGGGCGGAGCCTAAAATTCAACC